GGCGAGGGACCGCGCTCTACGCCAGGGCTCCGGTGCAGCGTCTCGGCTGGTCTTCTCCATACTCATGAACATACAAAGGTCAACCCCTATCACGATAGCACGATATGGGAGACCGCGGAATAAAACCCAGGATTTTGAGGAGCTCTCGTCCATACGGTCCATCGAGCCAAGCCAGAGTTTTAGCCCGAATCTAGGCTCGCCGAGCCCGCCGGAGACCCCGAACTTGTCGCATTGCGTTTCTTGCATCGGGAAATACTTATTGTTGGAGCCTCTCGAGGGAGACCACGTTTTCCGAGCCGTACATCTGCACAGTGGCGAGGAGCTGGTTTGCAAGGTAATACCTCTCCTCCTTGTTCTCCCCCTGGGTTAGCCTGCTGTCGCGTGTTGGTTTCCTGTGTCTTGCAGGAGGGCCAAGCACGGTCGTGTAGCTCAATTATTAAACAGTTGAGAAACAAAAGGTAGGGAGACAGGATTAAAGGCGCATCCTGTAACTTTTCCCTCTCTCTAGACAATGGCCACGTTAGAGCGGTGGCCCGGAGCCAGTTTGCCTCTTACCCCGGGGATATTGTTCTGGAAAGAGCCGTCCTTCAAGTAGGTCTTAACGTGAGTTCGGATCAGGAGAAAGCCTCCTCTTCCCCGCTCTCACTTTTCAAAATGGAGTAGGGAATCCCCAGATAATTTTAAGGTGTTGGGACCTGCTGGCTTCCTTGATTTTTCCTGTCCCTTGTTCTGGGAGTTGGGGTATAGAAGAGGATGGAGAAGCTGGGGGGAGATCGCCATCAGCTTTGTCTTAAAAGTGATTAAAAAAACCCAAAACCACATCGAATTAATCAGCCTGAGCTCCCTCACCGTTGAGGTTGTTTGCAAACAGCATCCTCCCCCATTGCACAATTGAGCAAGAATAAAACCTGCACACCTACGTTTTTTAGAAGAGCAGACAAAATAGCTATCCCACTCTGTAGTCTGCCTGCTTTTCTCTGCCTCCTCCCAATTTGCTTCTACTATTCAAAGGTGAGCTGTAACCCACATGCGTGCACGTCCGTGGAGCGATGTTTTTCTCTTTTTGGGCTGAGGGAATAATTTCCTTTGTTCCTAAATTTCGATTCTCATTGTCTGCAGTGAGCCAGACTTATGCCCAGCAAACTGAGGCAGTACCCAGTAGTAGTTTTTATAACTACGTAGCAAATTGCAACCTTGCAACGCACGCTGCAGTGTTTGTATTGTTCCCAAAACATGGAATCGTGCCACTTGGCTATCTTGGGCAAATTTCTAGTGTTGAACTAACTGCAAAACGGAAAAGTAGACATATTACAGCTTATTTGTATTCCAGGGATTAATGATAGTATTGCTGACTGTTTCATGCTTTCTCATACTTGATTCATAAGAAGTTATGGACTAGGCTGTAGCAGGGAAGTGAAAATAATTGCTCCCGTTTGCTATTTGTAAAGACTGGAGTTCAGAGGGCAATTTAAATATGCTTACTGATTGAGTTATAAAACCTGATGTTAAGGCAACCTAGGACTTTGTGTGATTATTTTAGGGGAAAAAAGGGCCCGTGACTTTGCAAAAGACTAATATTGCATGCTGAACTGAATGCTTTGTTACTAAACTGAAACAGAACATGAGAATTTCTAGAATGAAAGCCGTGCTCGGTGCAGTAGTACAGTGCTGCACTCTAGGACATTGGCATCTTTTCATGAAATAAACAGATCCCACAAAGCTGCTGCTCTGTATGAAATTATAGGTGAGCTTGCATAGCAAGTAGTAAAGCGGGGGCTATGCTCTTCTTTGTTTCCTGTTTGGTTTGCAAGTTTAAGGCATTGTTTTGATAACAGTATGATCAGTATAACTGCAGCTCACAAAGAGTGGACTTTATTTTTTTCCTTCCCTTTAAGCTGTATGTTTTTGAGCTGATCCTGACATTTGAATAGTATCAGTTTTTCCATATGTGCGAGGCACTACTTCTAGCTCTGCTCCAAAAATATGATCTTACCCAGAATTGCTAGTTTGTGAATACACAGTTGTCAGTCCTGAACTCAATTTAATGCGTGCTTTAAAATGCCTGCAGTATCATGACTACTCTTTGTCAAGTAGCCTTCCGGCTAAGAGACCTGCTATCTGGTATCTTATTGAAGATGCTCTTAGAGATTGCTTGCAGAAACATTGGTTTGGATAACAGACACATACTGATGATTCTCAAGATTCATTTGGCTGCACCCACTGACTGTACAGATGCCGTTATTTGCTTCAAGGCTCTGTGGCATCCAAACAATGGTAACTTCTCACTTCCAATTCCCAGCAAGAACTAAATCAAACTGCAGCTTATTGGACATTTGCTGAACTGAGGCCAGGGATCTTAAAAGCTGGGATACAAAGAAGCCCTTTATAAGAAGTATTCTAGATTGTAGCAGTATGATAGCACTTCGCATCTCCCCCCTTTCAAACATAGTACTGGTACATATCCAGATATATTTATTTAACATTGTCTGAGAACCACAAAATGCAACTAATTTATATCAGGATAATCTAGTTAGGAGAGAATTCTGGAAAGGCTTTTTTTCACATGAGGGTTTGAGCTACACGAATGTTCCTGCTTAAATTTTATTTTATAGCAGCCGCTTTGTAGAAGAGCCATTCACTTACAATGTAGTAGTTACGAGTTTTGAGATCCAAATGTCAATGAATTCTCCTCTGGAACAAATTACACACCAGGGATTTTAGCAACACCCCCTCTCCACCCCGGTTCTGCTTCCCTAGCGCACCATGTCACCAGAATGCCTCAGTGCTAATCTACCCCCTGTAAAATGTGTTGGATCTGTTTGGCAGTCTGCCTTTAAGGTTGGTTTTGCCTGTGCCGGAGTATAGCAGCACAGGTATGGGATGGGGAGAAAGAGGTGTGTGAGGAGGGGGTGCCCCAATTTCTTGGGGCTTGGGTCCTTTTTTGCGGAAGGAGTTTGTAAAATTGTGCTCTGAAGCGTTAAATGACTCAGGTTTTGAAGCCTCAGGTAAATTTTGATTGAACCGTATCTCTCTCACTCAGTTTTGAAAGCTTTTTAAAGCTTCAAAGAAAGCAGGGAGATTTGCTTCTTGGAGAGGATACAAATACCCGCTATTGGAATACAAATACTAGAACACAAAAAGAAGAAAAACAATTGCAGTTTAAACCAGTTGGTTAGAAGAACGTATACCAGTTCTTGATTTTTATGTTCAGTTAGAATGACACATGACTACCTTAAATTCTTTTTACCACAGTAACAAAACACCCAAGAGTAAGTTACATATTAGTAGAATTTTTATGCGGGTGGAAATGCTAATCCCTTGCTTTGTAGTACTTCTGGAGCAGGTATAATTAAAAATAAAAATCGCTCCTGTCAATACTTTGCTCATATTCTCTTTTAGCACACTGACTTCTGTTATTCTCAATGAAGTCTTTCTTGTAATGTGGGCATTTCTCAATTGACTCAAATACAGATTCATTCGTCATCACTAGATTATAGTAACTTTTTATATTTGGGTTTCCCAGCAGCCTTTTTAATTCTTACAGTTCATTCATAAGATCAGTGATAACATACTTACTAGTAAAGGGACACTTTGCTTTTAATGGAGCACTTGATTGAAATGCAGAGAGTTCAGGGTGGTTTTGTCTTTGCCTTTTGAAGGTTGTTTGTCTGCGCTCCAACAGGCAGGGCTATTTTCCCGGTTGTCCTTCTGATCTTACAGCCATTGTAAAACTGAGACTTTGAAAGTGAAAGTGACTTTGCTGTTTGTCAGAGATGAAAGAAAGGCAGGAAGTAAATATGAATAGCGCTAGATGATATTTTAAACCTGAAAATCCTTAAAGCTCTAATGGGTTAATTAAATCAAGACAGAGAGGCATGTGGATCAGGGTGGATTTAATATGACAGCTTCTCTCAATACAGAGCTACTGGCCATCTTCTCTATGAGTTTATTTGGATGGAAGATAGAAGATAAACACGTTTCCTTCTAAGTACTGCTCCTGTATGTCTCTGGTCTTCAGAGCTTAATTCAGATTACATTCTAAATTTGAACAGCTATTAGCTAATGAACCTATTCTTGCTCTAAGTTTTGAAGACTAGCCTTTCCTGTCAAGGTTATGCGTATGTCCTGTGTGGGGTTATATAGTCTGTTTTGTCTTGTCCTCAGTGCCATGAGCTTGTGACATCCTGTTTACATTGGTGCAGCTTCAGCAGCAGCATAAATTGTACTTAGAGATGGTTCTGTTAACAGAATTAGATGTACTATAACTTCACTGTCCTTCGTGTCGCTAACCCTGGCTTTACTGTCATTGTTCCTGCAGGTGTTTGATATTGGCTGCTACCAGGAGTTACTAGCACCATGTTTTTGTCTGCCTGCGCATAAAAATATCAACCAAATTACTGAAATAATTCTTGGGGAGACAAAAGCATATGTGTTCTTTGAAAGGAGCTATGGGGACATGCATTCGTTTGTTCGTACCTGCAAGAAGCTTAAAGAAGAGGAGGCAGCCAAACTCTTCTATCAAATAGCTTCCGCTGTTGCACACTGCCATGATGGTGGACTGGTACTGCGAGATCTCAAGCTGCGAAAGTTTATTTTCAAGGATGAGGAAAGGTAAGAGTCTCCCTTACTTTACAGGTGGGGGTGCCTGAGGTCAGATTCAGAGTTACAGGATGCTGTGCCCTTCATTGTCACCGTACCGTTTGTTTGTGGTCCACAAGGTGTTACGCTTTCTTTGTTTTCCTCTGCAACCTGATCATGGGATGGATGTGCCATTTTACCTTCTGGCTTAGGCTTTGGAGTAAAGTAAGTATAGAGCGTCATTTGCATCTGTGCCTGGCCTCTGCATTTCCACCTAGACGAGTGCCCTCATTCCTAAGGAGGGGACATCTGGAGGAAGGCTCTGCGTACATGTCTGTAAGAGCTCTGCTATCATAAATGCTGATGGTGTTAAAAGAGGGGAAGGAGCAAAAGATCCAGTATGTTAAAGAGGGTTGGGGACTGAAATGGCTCGTTCCAGTGAGGAGGTGTGAAGAGGAAGAACAACCAAGTTGTTAATGCAGACATAGGTTGGAGGGAAGGGCCACCAGTGCTTTGAAGGACTGCTTTGAGGACAGCTTCTTGCTTCCTGTGCTGGGAAGGGTCTGGAGACTGCTTCTGAGAGTATTGTGTGGTCACTAATCATACTAAGACTAAAACCGCCTTGCTGTGTGGGTGCCCGTTTTTAGTATCAGAGCTGTTGTGGTACTTGGGGAACTACCCTTTTTTTGTTTGTTTGGTTGTTTTTTTTAAATCTCCTCCCTGCATACTCTTGTCTCTCAATAAATGGTTGGTAAATGATTTGGGGAAGGAGTATGGGAAGACATGGAAAGAAATAATGCTAGATGCTCTGGGTATATTGTGAAATGCTATTTCTGATGCTGAGCCATAGCTATACTGTTGTACCTGTGGAAACTTCGTATCTCTTTCCTTGTGGTTATCAGTTTTCATTATGTTACATCATGTATTAACTTGCAACTTCCACATAAAGCATGAAAGTAATGAACACTGTCAGATTAATGTCAGGCTTTCACAGAGGGATTAAATTGGAAGATGACCATTACGGAAAAAAATGAAACTAAATGGGGGCAGAGCCTGCCTTTGTGTTTCTTCATTTCTTGGTAGAGGATGGGGAGATGTTTTTCCCTTTTAGTTAAATCCTGTAAACTGTCTGAAAGCTTGTTCAGACTGTTGCAGAGTGAAATGGATGTTCTGGAGAGCTTTGTTAAAAATAACCAGTGCGTGTCAATTCCATTTGGGGCTGTTTGGGGAAGTTATAAGCAACAGCAGAGGCACAAAAGTTTTCTACAGTCTCAGTAAGTCCACGATCTGAGAATTAGAAAAAACTAATACACAATTCAGTCAGGAGAGAGAGGTTCGTGGCCTTAAAATAAAAATGACAACCATCTATCCTGTTTAAATATAGTCTACTTAAATTTTATTACAAGTTGAGTTTTGCAAAATAAACTTCTGCTTTTAATCTCTTTACAAACTGAAAAATAAAAGACATATTTTCACTTCTTAATTCAGTCCAGGCAATTCTCTGCAAAGCAAATAGCTATTCCGTATTTTTCTACCACAGCCCCAATATATATGATTACCCTTTCCTCCTCTTCAAATAAAAAAGCCTAAAATGAAACTAGCTTAATGTCCATTCAGAGAGAAGTGCAAAGCAGGTAGATATATACTGCACTTTCACAACTTTTACTGAGTTTAATAATTAAACACCATTATAGCACCTTTGATGCAGATAAGAAGGAAACTTGTACAAAATAGTTGAGGGAGGGATTGTTTTCTGTTGTAGCTGATAATGTCCTAACGTTAAAATGGATTTTTTTTCCTGGGGACATATGTAGACTTGTGTGGTTTTGTACAAAGGACAGGACTCGGAGAAGCCCTAGGGCTCACCCTAACTGTCTGCTCTAAGCGAAGGCAGTGTGAGCTCAGGGCAGTGCAGTGGGCGCAGACGTGGGCCCGTGCTGAATACTTTTGAACTCCTACCCTGCTGCTTAGTAGGAACTGAATGTAACACGAGGCACAGGGCCAAATCCTTTAGCCACCCAAGAAGAGTGGTGCGTACTATAATAGTAGTGTTTGCTTTTATGAATGTTTTTAACGTAACTGCAGTCTGCAAAATCGCAGTTACTCACTTTTGAACAGTGTCTTCTAATTGTACAATAATTCACTTTAAAGGTCAAATACGACTTGCTGGTTATTTTTAAGATAATCATAATGTGGTTTTCTTCTGGATGTAATGTTGATTTGTAAGTAGAGAGGTATTGTAATCCTTACTCTGCTAAATAAACAGAGGTGAAATAGTGTGAGATAGAAATAGAACCAAACAGCGACTGGTTTTTTTCACATGCTCTAATCATCAGACTGTAATCAGTCATCACTTTAAATCTGCTGCTATATTTAGGCTGAAAAATCTTCCTGGTCCTTCCGGGTTCACGGAGGTGTTTGTGTGTTGCTTGTACCCCTCCAAGCTCGTGTTTCCCTGAGGGTGCTGGTGAGGATGCCTGCGTGCTGAGCAGCCTGCCTTTCAGAAGCTGCCGTCGGCGGCAGTGCCTGGGAGATGGGTGCTGCATGATCTATTGCTCTTTGATACCTGTAATGAGCCAAGGAGGAAGAAAAGGTGAAAATGATGTTTTGAGAAATGTGCATGAACTCCACTGCTGCGTGTTGCTTGCTCTTCAGTGGAGCTCTTTCTCAGTAGTTCTTTTCCTAACTATTTCTTCAAGTCTGTTTTTCTGCAGTTCACCTTTAGTCCCTACTGCTTTGAAACTTGTCTCTTATTGAAGACTCTCACAGCTTTTATTTTGATAGAAGAAAAGATAGGAAATCCAGCATGCAGGCAACACATTAATGGAGAACTCACTTCTCTTATTTTTTTTTTTTAGTAAGATACTTGTCTGCTCTTAGCTGAGAGCTGCCAGACTGGAGGAGCCAGAGAGAATGTGAAGGATATATGGAAGCGTTCCATTTGTTTAAAAAAGAAAATCAATTAAAGCATTTCTTAGTACATACTCCTTCCATTGATCCTAATGATATCCTGGTAGTTCAGTATGAAGTCAGAGCTCCTGGAGTTTTGCAGACTGGTACATACAGCATTGAAACTCTTTCCACCTCATTCCTATTATCTAAATTACAGCTGGAATTTGCAAAGATTCAGGCTCCTGATCTAGCAGCAGTCATGAGTGCTCTTTGCTCCTCCTGATGTCACTGCTAAGAATGCATGTTATTTGGATGTTGCAAATTGCAGTGCCTTGGGATGTCTGTAATGAACTGGGAAGTAAGAAGGTGAAAAAAGTAATGTTGGGAGGCTGGTAGTGCTGAGCATTTTGTAGGGGTCCTAATTTTACTAGTGGTGTTCTCTTGATGTGCTAAATCAAAGGTAGACTGTGGTGGTGTGTTATGTCTTATTATGCATATGTGTAAATACATCAGCACTTAAAATGAAATCCAAAATTCCACAGTGTAGAAACAAACAAAAATAATTTGTCTGTGTTTCAAGGTACTTTATCTATAGCTTCTTTTAATCCTGACCTGCAGAAATTTTGAAGATATGGTAAATTGCATTCCATGAAAATGATGTGGGCTGTTGCCAAGCACCTTAGGTCTGTTATGTTTTTGGTTTTGGGTTTGTTTTGGGTGTTTTGGGTTTGTTTTTGTTTTTTAATTTAAATGAAGGTTGGGGGATTGTGTTTTTTGGGATGCGTATGTGTGTCTGTGGTCTTTTAGTATTGAAATTTCAGAGTTAAGCTCCTTAAACCTGCAGCTGATCTTGATGAAGCAGAACTTCTAAGACATTACAGCATGGCTGGAAACGTTTTGTAAGGCTGGGTTAGCAAGCACCAGCACATCCATTAAATGAGGGCAGTGACTTTCAGAGCACTAAAAATACGGAAAACAACACTGACTTGCCATGCTGGGTCTCACCAGGCTTTTTCTAAAGTACCTGTAAGATTCTTGGATATTTTAAAAATTGGGTCCTTAAACTTCTAAATAAAACTTGAATCCAAAACAGTAGAGATGAGCTAAGATAAAACGCGGTTTTGTATGTTTTCTGCTTCCATGCGTCTTGGTCATTTTTTCTTGTCCTGGATATTAAGCCAGGTCAATGTGGATGTTGTGGGGCTCTTGCTTTTGATTATTTTTGCTGCGTTCATGTCATGGTATTTACAATTTTCCTTGTACAGCCTGTCCTCGTAGTAGGCCCTTGGGCAGAGCCACTGTGCCCTTCTAGCTGGTATCCCGTAAGAACGTTGCAGAATGGGCAGGGCTTTTTGGGTTGTGCTAAAAATAGCACTATACACAGTATTGTGCTAATAAAGCAGTTCATCAGTCTGATATATAGCAGATGCTTTGAGAAAGAGCCACCTCAAAGATCTCAGAATTAAATCACACATTTCTGTGTTGGTTGTTCCAATGGTTTTCTTAATACAAGAACATTTCTGCTGTCAGGGAATTATTAATTTCTTTAGTGCATTTTTAAGCCTTTAATTATATTAAAATATTAGCTGTTGTAATATTTGAAGTTTAAAGACCTTGTACAGTCATCATACTTGTTGAAGGGAAAATTAAAATAATTTTGGTATTTAGATATTGTAATTTTCCTGTATTCTTTGAGTAAATATGAGAAATGGTAGGCAGGTGGGATTCAATACAAATAAATAGAACTTGACACTTTTTGCTCTGCACCAGGGGAATGCAGTCAGTACAATACACTAATTTAGAAAGCCTGTGTTAGCATAACATATTTACTTGGTGCTCTTAAAATGTTTTTTTCTTTCTTTTTTTTCCTCTAGAATTTCTCAGCTTTGAGTGGATGATGCTTTAAGGTGACCTACTTATGTTGTTTGCAATCCTAGTGATACAAACCTGATCCCACAAAAAATACAGAATGCATATACCGACCTTTTTCCAAGTAGACCTTTCATTTTCTTACGCTTAGTAGCAAGTTTCCTCCCCAGCATTTGTCAAACTGTAATGCAGTCAGCCGCTTTTTCCCTGTGTTGTTAGAACTTGCTGTTTTACTTACAATTCAATAGAGAACAGGTAAGTTAACACTTTCC